AATGATGGTCATTCCTAAAAGACCAGTGAAGATGATGTGGTGTAATATTGTCATCAAGACAAGATGTGGTGTTCTGGGGAGCTGCTTATGTCGCTTATATCATCAGTGAATGATACCAGCCTGCTTTGTGTTTCAGCAGTCAGGAGGTAGCTAGTGAAGCAAGCGTTGGGCAGCAGGAAAAGCAGAATTGATGTTGTGGGATAAAACCAAGGACACTGCATTGTCTCAGGTTTTATCAGAGATGAGGACGTGAAATGAGATGGCAGGCAAATAGCCAGTAATTGTGTATTTCTCTGGGTTTGAGTGCTTGACTCTTTCAGATAAGTTGAACAGTTTAATTTGAAGTCAAGAGGAGCAACATTACTGAAACACAGTCGACAAACACCCTGAATAGTGACATTGCAATGCATTTTGGGACTCTTCAGTTTGTCATTTCCACAACAAAATTGCCTCCGAGAGTACAGTGAGGAGAAATTGGATAAAACTTCAGGCAGTTCAGTAGCAGTTGGATCTCTTGCCCAAGGGATAGCGAGTAGAGTTCATGGTCTCTCTGAGAGCATGGTGGACAATAGGTTTCCAGACCCACATACGATGTGGTAGCCCATCGGCATTTAGGAGGACACTAGGTCCTGGAGTGTTGAGAGAACACAGAATGTGATCCACAGTGATTCCAAAGCACAGTTTGGAGATAGTATCTCTGCTTTTACCCTCAGAAAATTAGATCTTTTCCTTCTTGGCACTAATTCCCATTAAATACCCAAGTATAAGCCAGTAATTAGCTCCAATTTAAAAGAAATTATTTTGTGATATGAATTTGATGTGTTTGTTGGTTTTAAAAAAGAAAGTCTAAAACCTTGACAGTGTCCCAGCTTCATCAGATTATTAGACCATGTCTACGGTGTCGTTAATGAGATCTATCCAGATTTGTCACTAAAAATAGCAATGGACAAATAGTAAGTGTTCAATGTAGAGGGTCACCTTGGAGCAGTTACACTCTCCTGTAATGTCAGTCTCTTTTTACTCAATTTTACTAAAGTAGTTATCTGGCTGTAAAGCAGTTCAGGCAGTAATGTAGGATGTCATATATATTCCTTTAATTATTATGATCTTCCTTGTAGCAATTATAATTTGCTTTATTGCAGATAACAGTGAATTGGTAGATAAAAGTCACTAGACAGATATGAAAAGTTGTATGTTGTAGCTTTTAAATTGAAAGTATAGCAGCTGGTTCTTGGTTTACTTTGTTTTTTAAACTCAAAAGATTATTTTGGAACATCAATTAAAAAGAAACAAAAGACAATAAGAATATTTTGTAGTAACTATAGTGCATAACAGAATTCACTTGTTTGTCTCACTGATAGACTGTGTGTGAGACGTGGGCTTTCCTTCAATTGCAGAGGAAGAAATCTCTATATGAATGCCAGAATCATCTATTGAATGCTTTTTCTGACTATATGAGAAAATTTTCCTTATTGCTTGCATTGCTTTAAAAAGACTGTTAAAGTCCTATGTTCCTTTGACAGCATACCAATTTTGCTGCACTTATTTGTCCATATATGGGAAATTGTTGGTGGGATTCAGTTGTTTCCCTGAGTAGAATCATTTCTGGTGTACAGTTGTTAGGTCAGTTTATGGCTGTTATTAGTACTTTTTTTTTTTTTAACATTCAGAAGCATATATATTGAATAAGCTCTTTGAGGTCTGTCTTTGTATAATTTGTTTTTCCTTCAAAAATGGTAATGCAAATTGGAAACATAGCTCCTTTGGATAATCAAAATCCACAAAAAATGCTGTGGCTTTATTGTTTCTTGTACCATAAGCCCATGGAAACAAATTACTGTATATTATTACTATTTTTATCCCATTTATTTGGGAAAGTCAATATATGCAAAAGGCAAAAATGGCCTCAACAAGTGTTCTAGGTGGTCATTTTTATAGTGAAATCCAAACAGTACATTGATGAGAGATGCCAACCCCTTCCTTCTGTATGGCACATCATCAGTATATAATTCATCAAGTTAAAATACACTTTAAACAAGGAGGAGATCATTATTCCTTCTCATTTAGACCCTGAACACAACAGTCCCCACAATCTGTTTATGGTTCATTATCCTCAACCTAATAGATAATGGAGAATTCCCTTGCCCCCACCAGTGCTGCTGTGAAAGGTGAAGCCTTCTTTTATGCTTTGAGTGTGTCCTTTGTGGAGAGCTGTGACTCATGGCAGAAGCAAGATGTGTTTAGCACTTGTGATGGGTTGACCCTGGCTGGACGCCAGGTGCCCACCAAAGCTGTTCTATCACTCCCCCATCCTCAGCTGGACAGGGGAGAGAAAAATATAGCAAAAAGCTTGCGGGTTGAGATAAGGACAGGAGAGATCATTCACTAGTTACCATCACGGGCAAAACAGACTCAGCTTGGGGAAATTAACTCAATTTATTACAAATCAACCAGAGTAAGGTAATGAGAAATAAACCCAAATCTCAGAACACTTTCCCTCCACCCCTCCCTTCTTCCCGGGCACAACTTCACTCCCGGATTTCTCTACCAACCCCCCCAGCGGCACAGGGGAACGGGGATGGGGGTTTACGGTCATCACATGATATTTTCTGCCGCTTCATCCTCCTCAGGGGCAGGACTCATCACACTCTTCCCCTGCTCCAGCGTGAGGTCCCTCCCACGGGAGACAGTCCTCCACGAACTTCAGTGTGGGTCCTTCCCACGGGCTGCAGTTCTTCACGAACTGCTCCAGCGTGGGTCCTTTCCATGGGGTGCAGTCCTTCAGGAGCACACTGCTCCAGCGTGGGTCCCCCACGGGGTCACAAGTCCTGCCAGAAAACCTGCTCCGTGGGCTCCTCTCTCCACAGATCCGCAGGTCCTGCCAGGATCCTGCTCCAGCACGGGCTTCCCACGGGGTCACAGCCTCCTTCAGGAACGCACCTGCTCTGGCGTGGGGTCCTCCCTGGGCTGCAGGTGGAGATCTGCTCCACCGTGGACCTCCATGGACTGCAGGGGGACAGCCTGCCTCACCATGGTCTTCACCATGGGCTGCAGGGGAATCTCTGCTCTGGCGCCTGGAGCACCTCCTCCCCCTCCTTCTTCACTGACCTTGGTGTCTGCAGGGCTGTTTCTCTTACATGTTCTCACTCCTCTCTCCGGCTGCCGTTTCTGTCTGTCCCAACTTTTTTTTCCCCTTCTTAAAAATGTTATCCCAGAGGCATTACCACTATCGCTGATTGGCTCGGCCTTGGCCAGCGGTGGGTCCGTCTTAGAGCCGGCTGGTATTGGCTCTCTCTCAAACACAGGGGAATCTTCCAGCAGCTTCTTACAGAAGCCACCCCTGTAACCCCCCCCGCTACCAAAACCTTGCCACACAAAGCCAATACAGCACTAGGTCTGCATTTCCTGCGTGATCAAGTAATATTTTTTATAGTCTTATCCACATGCTCCAGTTAGCTTCCCACCCTTTCGTACACTGTTTCGTATACCAGCACTCATGGCAAGGCTCGGAGGCACCCGCTGGTGATGTGGGTGTCCTAAGGCACAATGTTTAAGCTTTGCTCCCCTCCCACCGTGTACTTTGTGTAGGCTGTTTGGCTCCACATAGGCGTTGGCTGGATGGGCCATATCTGTTCTTCCTGGTGGTTAAAGGAACAGGACAGGCTACTTGGTTCAGGGGTTTGGGCTGTTGGTTTTTTTTGAAGTGATTGTGAGGTTTGCTTTTACTCATTTTTATTTGCATTCCTGTATCAGACTGTTAGTATTTAAAAACAATTTAGTGAAGGCATATTTTAGAATTGACTGACTTGAGATGAAACTGGAAAAAAAGGAGAGTGATTGTGAGAGGAATATATTTCACTGTAAGGGAAGGAATTATTTTATCAAGTTTAAAGCAGTTTACCATGTCACTATAATCACTTGCTGACAATATTGAAGTTTAGCTTCTGATACCTTTCAGTGCTTTATCAGGGGACTTGACATTTGTGTAAGGTATCAGTAAGGACATAAGTACATAGGTACGCTTGCCTTTGTTGATGCCAAGGCATCATAATCCAGAAAATTTATGGCAGGATTTCAACTTTAGTATTGCCAGAAATAAAATTAATCCAAGGTGGAAGTGTCCTTTTTGAGAGTTCAAATCCTTCTTGGAATTGCTTTTCTTATTCCCTTCCTGCTTTTTTGCAACTAAGCGTGTACCATTTCTGGAAAATGTTAGCCATACTAATATACCAAACTTACTTTTCCCTTTCTCATTGACTTGAAATTAAGGTTAACAAAGTCAATTCCAAGCAAGTAGTACATACAAGTAATGATTTTTGTCCCAAAGAACAGCACTGACTTGAACAGTATGGAAGTGCTGATGCTCTTGCTTTGTGCAGGAGCCCATAATGACAAAGTATTCTTGTCAGAGTATATAATGAAACTATAAATTGTTTTCATGACTGCTGTGATACTTGGTCTCTTGCAGAGCACATTCAGAAAGTATTTAGTGCCATGTCTTATGTGAGTAATATCAGAAATAGAAATATATGCTTTAGCATGAGGAGTGTCAAGTGATGGTTGAGAAGAATCTGCTGATTGAACGTGTTAAGTGAAAAAAGTTGCCTAAAACTTCTGATAGGTAACATTCAGCCACTGCAGGAAAGGATGACATACATGTTACTCTCTCTTCCTCTCAGTGGGGAAAGGCAATGAAGCAGAACAGCTAAGATTCGCAAGTTCTGCTTTGCTTTGTGCATGAGCCCTACACATAAGAGGCAGTGGCTGGAGGGGAAGGCTCACCTCTGCCTTCCCTCCCCATTCAGGTGTTTGCAATATTCCTGCATTATTTCCCATTCTTTTGACTCAACAAGCACATGCATGTAGTATCAGAGCTGAATTAGTTTCTTTTACCTGTGCCGATAGGGTATCACACTGTAATTGTTTCAGACTCAAGGTAAATTTTGGTTGCCACTCATGCTACCCCTTCTGCTGTAATGTGGTCCTGTTTCACTGTCCAGGTGGGAGGCTGAGCCCAGAGGACATTGCTGGTAGCAGGGAGGAGGAGGAGGAGGGAAGGGGGAATGAGGTGGGAAATGCTGGTTGCTAACTGAGAGCTGGGTATTGTGGATGCAAGTAGAAAAGGGAGTTTGCAAAGGCTTCTTCCTTCCAGCAGCCTTCCCAGGGCTGCGGGTCAAATTGTGAGGTTCCTCACACTATTGCATATGACGAAAAAGAGGAGAAACTTGAATTGCTGATTTTTTCTAACTCACGGTGGTCAGGTGAGCGTGTGGCCTTACAAATGGATTTCAGGCTTCTGATACAACAGATTTCTTTCCCGTCATTGTTATTAATAAGTTAAGATGACTTGTGACAGACTTTGATCTCATGCAGTCCTCCTCCATCTTTTTGGAGAAAAACTTCAGCCTCTTGAATCCAGTACTGGCTGTGGTAGAAATGGCTTGTTACAATTACGTTTTTTTTCTCTTCTGCAGTATCTGGTGTGCAAAAGGAAGCTCGAAAGTAAAAAGGAGGCATTGCTAATCCTTTCAAAAGAGCTGGACACCTGTCAACAAGAAAGAGACCAGTACAAGCTTATGGCCAACCAGTTGCGGGAACGACACCAGTCTCTGAAAAAGAAGTATCGGGAGCTGATTGTAGGTTGTTCTTTATGAATACTGTATAACTGGGGGACAAGGGTGAACCTCAGAAAAACCTGAAAAGTCCATAATGACTGCTGTAAAAATGTTTAGGTACTTGTTTACAGTAGTCCTGCAGTTGTACAGCCCTGATCATATTATTACTCATTTGTTCTGCATTGATGAGGTAGTGCCTGTTATATAAGACACAGAAAGACAGTGCGTGCTCTGAGGAAATTAGTTTTAGTCATAATTCCATTTAAAAACTGACTGCAGTATTATTATTCCACAGCAACTTAATGTACCGTTATGAAAAATAATGCAACATAAATTTGTAATGACCTGCTGTTCTAGAAATGTAAACAAATCTTCAGCCATAGACAGTTTTTTTAGTTGAAATTAATATTACTGGTATTAATCAAGATGCAGTATTTTAGAAACAATTTTGATAACATTTATTTAAAATACATGTTTTAAAATTTGATCTACAAAGTTAATATAGTTGCTGGCTTCAGAAATAAGTTGCCAGTAAAATACGTCCATTTTTTTGTAGGATGGGGATCCATCCCTTCCGCCTGAAAAGAGGAAACAGGTAGGATTTATTTTTCAGTTGACATTATTTATCTGCTACAGAAGTACTTTGCAAAAGTGTGAATATATTAACTAAGAAATCTGGTAAGAAGCAAGCATTTCTGTCTGTTGAAAAGCTCAGTCTTTAAACTGTGGCTTCTTGTGCTTTTGTCTAAACATGTTTCACTCTGAGATATCTGAACTATCATTAATTAGAATATATGGCTGTTGCTTTTATGTTCACCTGAGACTGAAATTGGTCAGTGTATGGAGACTTGAGATTGTTCTCCTTGTTGTTTATCCTTCTTGCATTGAGTCCTAAAATGGTTTTGTGACAGAACTTCTCATACTTAAAAGCAATCTGGGAATGCATTGTCTGTGTTCCATAATTGTTAATTTATTGTTGTGAGTACTGTTTTCCATTAGGTACTCTCCCAGGTCGCTTGGGCTCTATGAGTTATAAATGGTAAGAACAATGGTAATTGCATTTTATGGTTCCCCTGAAAAACTTTTTGCCTGCTCGCTTTTTTTTTGTTCCCAGAGATCTATGTAGTGTATCCCTGTTGTGGAGTGTTGGTTGTCACATCTTAGAATTATCTTAATTTTTAGAGAAAAATGGCACCCAAAACACAATGTGTGAGCAGGGAGAGGAGGACAACCCAAAAGAACAAAAATTGTTACTGTAATTGCTAGTCCTGAAAGTCTTTTAACCATGTTTAAAACATGGTTATTGCATTCTCTTAATGGATCAGAAGTTTTATTCATCAGCCTTTCCCTGGAAGTTTGCATGTAGTTCTTGCTATTTTCTTAAAATTTTAGGGGCTTAGGGTTTTAGTTGTTTTAAACTAAACTTTCAGAGGCAATATAATTACTCCTTCAGGCACTTAAGCAAATAGCTGCCAAGAAGTCAGTGGCTCAGTGTAGAATCATTTCAGTTCCTCATTATTTAGCATAATTTATTTGAAATTCTGTTATTTCAACAGAGTTCCAATAAAAGTTTATGGCCAGGTATATGTTAGTGCATTCTGACTACTAAAATTGGAGCTCAAGGATATACAATTAAAAGAAAAAAAACCAATGCAGTATATGGGTCATTACAGAGATAAGTAGGAAGGGAGATTTGTCACCCCAGGGATGGTGTTCTAATTGATCTTCCATCTTTCAAAACAAATAAATCTGACACTTGTTTCTAAAAAAACTAGCAAAATTTAGTCTAAATTCAGAAGCTGCGATTATATTAAGTTTGGCAAATCTTACCATAGTAAGTGGCTGGAAAGCCCTTTAATAATCTAGCTAGGAGTCTTTTTTTCTGAGGAAGTTATGTATTTGTGCTAGGTAACAGTGAAAGAAAGAAAATCTTGTTCTCAAATGGGGTCATTTATAGGTCTCCCTCAAGGACAATATATACTTTAGGTTGTACAGTAATAGGCTGTTAGTGTACTTCCTGAATTTTCATTTTCCTGAGAAGTGTGTCTGTAGCATACAGGGTGGATAATCTGGAGTAATTAGGGCAACCTTTCTGAAGAAGAGTATAGTTTTGCTTTGAGAAATGCATTAAGAATAATAGAATAAAATTATGAATATTTTCCCATTATTATTGTATGTACATTTCTTAGCATTTTCTCATCTAAGAAAGGGCAAAGTTCTCTGTGCTTTCTTGCACTTTTCCCATTCTCTTTTTGCCTGGAAGCCTGCTCAGAGAAGTTTGTGACTTCAGTCACATCAGGGACCCTGATCCTATAATGAATTTTGTGTGACACAAAAGTGCATGCTGTTCTCATGGTCGGAAATGAGATGAAAGCATGTGTTGAACAACTTGCTATCTGTTACGTTTCTTTACCACAACTGAGAAATTATTGTTGAAATCACAATCTAGAATCTTAAATGTAATAGGTGGGTTGGAATTGCTACTTTCTTCTCCTTCATCTCTTTATTTTTCACCTTTATTATCAATTATGCTTTGTGACTTCTTAAAATCGTGTGTTTTCCACACTGTACCTTCTCTCCCTGTTCTGCAACACAGAATTTTCGCGTTTTGTTTGGAAGTATCATGTAACCAGGTAATTTCTATCAGCAAGCAGTTAATTCAGAATGTGTTTTTGTAAAATTGGTGTTACTTAAAGGTATCTTAACATGCAGTGCTCTGCAGGATTTTCCCTCTCAAGGCTGTGTGTGCAGTGGTACACATCTCTAACATAATCCAAAGATTGGTCCATGTGTATCACCACCTTCTGCCAACCAACAAAAGCAGAAAATGAGAAACTGTGCTACTGAAATCTCTTTTCCTGCGGTAGGTGTTTTACCATTAGTCTTGTTATCGCAGCCTGTGAGCTGTCAGTGCTTCCCTGGCCCCTCTTACCAAACATTCACAATTAAATGGTGCGGTTGAAGGTAGTTTTATAATGTCTTGTGGTGTCAGGTGTAGGGTAATTTTTGGATAAGTCATGGAGGGGTGAAGTGTTTCAGGAGGATAGAAATAATGAAGAGTTGATTTTGATGTTAAAATTCACTGGAGATGGTAAACAATAGACACTCCCCATTTTGAAAGGCATTTTAAAATGTTGCTTTGTCTACAGAGCCTCTGTTGTGCATCCTATATGAATAGAAATTCTACCATTCTACAGTGGTGTTTGTTTATATGCATTTGCTGTGATACAAAACATTTTTATGACATTGGCAAATGAATACTGGATATCTGTTGGACAGTGTTGCCATGCTGGGAAACTTAAAGAAAAAACATAGATGGGATTTCTAGCTTGATTTACACTGACTATTATTTTGGTCTACGTTGCTTAAATTTTCAGTATGACTTCAGTTTGGGAGAAGCTTTGTTGTTGAGATAACAGATCATTGAATCCTTTGACCTTCTGTATGAAATGGAAGTTCTTTTAATACAAATGAGATCCCTTGATTAAACAAAGGTGAAGTAAAATGCATGGTTAGGAAAATGACTGTGCTGGGCCACAGTCCTAAATACGCTTTGTTTAATTTGATCTCAGGGAGACTACTCAGTTGGAGATAACAGGGCTGTGTGTCAAGAATAAAGATGCTATGCATATGTTCACTTGTGAGGGCTTCTATTTGTATTTTAAATCTATGAGGAATCAAATTAAATGGAGCTAAACATCACAGGATCACAGAAGGGTTGAGGCAGGAAGGCAGCTCTTGAAATGAACTAGTCCAATCCCCCTGGTCAAGCAGGGCCACCTAGAACAGGTTTCCCAGGACCCTGTCCAGTCAGGTTTTGAGTATCTGTAAGGATGGAGGATCCGCAGCCTCTCTGGACAACCTGTTCCAGCGTTTGACCACTCCCACAGTAAAAATGGGGGAGGGGGTGGTGTTCAGATACCTACAGGTATTGGGGTGGCTAAAGTCCCTCATGTGGACCAGGGCCTGTGAGCATGAAGCTTCTTCCAGTTATGCGAAGAAGGCCTTATCAACTACTTCTTCCTGATCAGGAGGTCTATGGCAGATACCTGATACAACAGCACACGTGATGATCTGCCCACTAATCTTGACACAGAAGCTCTCAGGTGACTCCTGACCTGTCCCAAGGCAGAGCTCCATGCATTCCAGCTACTCTCTCACATGAAGGGCAACACCCCTTCTCACCTTCCTGCTGTCCTTCCTAAAGAGCCTGTATCCCTCCATCACAGCACTCCAGCTGTGTGAGCTGTCCCACTGTTTCTGCATGATCCCAGTGAGATTGTAGCCCTGTAACTGCACACAGACTTTGAACTCTTCCCTGTGCTGCATGTGTTAGAGCAGAGACCTCTGAGGGGCATCCAAGTGTGCCGGTTCCGCAGTACAGGCTTGAGAGCTTTCCCCATGAGGCTGTTCTACAGGCATTTCCTTCTTTACGTGCCTGTGCTCAAAGGAATTACACTTCAGCTCAGTTGCTTTGTGAATTGCTATGTCCCTTCTCTTGCCATCATCCCAGGCTCTTGGCTTGCCTACCCTATCCCAAGCCTCCTTGTTCTCTCTGCCATAATTTCTAGTTTAAAGCTCTCCTTATGAAGTTGACCAGCCTGTTGGAAAAGATGCTTTTGCCTCATGTAGTCAAGTGGATCTTGTGTCTTCCAAGCAGCTGTTGAGCCTTAGAGAGGGTCCCATGGTCATAGAACCCTCTTTGAGGCTCCTAATAATGAGCCTCATAAAATAATGATGACATAGTCCTAGTATAGAGCACAGCTTGATAGCTACTCTTTTTGCCGAGCAAAAAGTCTCATCAGAGAACCTGTGTGCATCTTTCCTGAAGGTTGTGGTCCCTAACTCTGTTATAGTTATCTGTACGTGTCCCAAGGTGATTCATTCAAACCAAGACTCTGACTGCTTCAGCAATCACTGACATCACAGCAGCATACTACCCACTCACCAAGGTGTTGGTCAGACAGCTTGACTTCTGCCGATGAATAAGTTCACGAGTATGGCATTTGGGGCAAGCAGAACATTAGAAGGACCGGAGGTTCCAGACAGGAGTATTTTGTGACATACCACAGATGGACCTATTTTGATACCTCCCACTTCCAGCTTCTAGCTTAATGTACTCAGCTGTCAGAATTCACTTTTGAAACAAACTTCAGGGATTACGTTATGACTGTTTTTGACATCATCAGAAAAAATTACTAGTGTGACTATTTCTTGTTAATTAATGAATTCAGGAAGTTTTGCTAGTCTTGTGCTCAGGTGCAAAAGCTGCATCCAGAGTTCTATGAGATAAAATCTTCAGATAAAATATACTAGAGGGTAAGCAATCATCTTGTATTTATCTCACAAGGGGGCTGTGAAGATTAATGTGATTTCCTTCTCTCTTCAGAGGATTTGAAGATGAAGAACATTACACATGTGCCAAACTTAGACCTGCGCGCTTTACTCTGGTTTGTATGTGCATGTGTTTGACTCCCATAGTGTGGAGTAGCAGATGGAAAACAGTGAGATCATTTGCCCTTGCAGTGTATCAGAGAGCAATATTCCCGTGGATTTCAAAATGTGCCTGCTCTGAGAGCATAGCCGGTAGAGAGA